ACGGGGTATGTTTTCTTTGTTGGAATGAAAGCAATTTTATGAAATTGCAAGAAACAATCAATAATTATAAGATCAATAATGGAGGTAGAATACATGGCAGTAAATTATGATACAATGGAGATAATATGGCTTAGACAACTTTTGGAGGGCATTGGAGTAGTACAAATAGAAACAACAATAGAATGTGACAATCAAGGATATCTTGCACTTATAAAGAATCCAAAGCATCATCAAAGACCAAGTACATTGACATTTAACATTACTTCATAAGAGAGAAGATTGAAATGAAAGTTATTAATATAAAGTATTATGCAACAAAAGACATACTTGTTGATTTGTTGACAAAGACATTAGTAAAAGATAGGCATTGCATGTTGATAAAAGAATTAGGATTGAAAGCCTTTGACCAATAAAAAAAATAAAAGTGTTAAAATAAGTAAATAAAAATAAAAGTAGAATAAGTTATACTATAAAACATATTATTTTAAGTAAGTTATTATTAATCAAAGAGTTGACTCTTGATATATAAGAAGGCTAAGAGATAAGGTAGATGAACGGATAAAGGATCATAAATATATAAAAAACATACTAAAAGAATATTTTTATAGTAGATAAGATATCAATAAATAGTCGTGATAAAATATTAGATAGATGTATTCATCAAAGTATGGAAGTTTTTTATTAGAGTAGTAGCCTCCATTTATAAGTAATGGATGTTGGAAGTCAGAGATATCTTACTCCATATTCTCTTTGTGAGCAATCTTACTGATGTTAAATGTTGTAACTTCAAAATTCTTTTTGTTCAATATATATAATTTTAATTTTTTGATATAATCACCAAAATAAAATAAAATTTTCAATAGTATTTATATAAATATATAATATATCTTATTGATTTATATATATATATATATATATATATATATATATATGCTTATATTAATTATTACTTATATATAATAAATGTAATATGTAATAATCTTTAAATTTTGATTAAAATCAATATATTAAATTTTAATTTTTTAATAATTTTTTTTATTTTATTATAATATTAATCTAATTAATTTATTTTATATTATATTTTTAAATATTATAGATAATTTTTATGATAAGTATATAAATCTTTATAGAGTCTTATATATTATTTTAGATTTTATTAGAATTTTTTGATACTTTAAATTAAGATTTAAATAGAAAATTTAAATTAATTCTTGATAAAAAATTAAAAATAAAAAGAATATTAAAATTAATTAATTGATAAATTATATAAACAATATGTACATCTTTAGATATCAAAAGCTTAAATTAAAATCTTTCTAAATTATATATATTATTATAAGCATATAAAATATTTTAATAAGTTTAATATTTTTAATATTATAAATATTTTAAATAAAATATCTATTTTTTAATATTATTTTCATTAGATTTTTTTCTATTTTGAATTTTTTTCATCTACACCTTTATTGTTTTAGAAGGTGAATTCTGAATTCTTGACCTTTAAATGTGTTTGTGTGAAATTAATATATTGATTTGATTTTGTAAATCATAGAAGATTTTATATAATGTATCTTGATTTTGTGAGATTTGGCTCATGATTTTTATTATCATGCTTAGAGTTTTGTGTTCATATAAACTATCTAATAAGAATTCTAATGATAAACTTCTTGCAAGACTATCTTACAAAACTTATCTAGTCTTTGAAATATTGTGCGTTATTACTTAAAGCTTTACATTGAAGAGATTTTTGCTGTTATATTAAATAAGAATTTGTTCTCAAACTCTATATTTTACATAGACAACTTCCAAGTACACTAAACAGATTTTAAAAGTAGCTCATTTAATTCAACTAGCTAGTATGAATCTAAAATAAATTATATAATTGTATGAAATAGAAAGGTGGCTTGTGATAGAAAATCATATTTTTAGTGCATATTAACATACATTATGCATAAACCTTTCATATACACTTTCTTCATTAACACTTTAATTTTAATAAATTATAATCTAAATTATTAAAATAATACCTTAACCTCTAATTTTTATAGAAAACATCTTTAATATGTTACAATTATAAATTGAAATATATCTATGATCTACTTGTTGATAATTATAAGAAAAAAGTTACTCTTATAGGTCATATATAAATAATATGTCCAACATATTTGTAGTTTTTACGAAGATGTGTTGTTGTTGATGTTGCTTCAATAGTTTCAAATTGTGCAGAAGAATGTTATATAGATGTCTCAATATGTATTTCACTTCTCAATATGTTCTTTATTCTATGTCAACTTTTCTTTTAGATGACTTACTCTTGGATTTTTCAACTTCATAATAACTATTGCAAGCTTCAATAATTCATCATATATTTCTTTTTGTTGATAGAAAGATTATAGATCAAATATACAACTAAGAAGATTATAGATAAGGTTGAAAGATTTAGAAGAAACTTCAATTTGTAGTAGAATTACAACTAAAAATTCAAAATTATTTACCAAATGATATTTATAATAAAATTTAGTAATTGTCAAAATACCACTACTCCTTAGTAAACTTTGAATATAATGCTTATAAAGAAGATCCAATGTGTTTTTCATTGTCTTTATATAAGAAGAATTATTATCAATAATTGTTTCTCTTTCATATTTATATTATTCAAAAAACAAGTTTAAGAGCATATAAAAAAACATGGTTCACAACATTGGTGAAGAAACCAATATTGTGATAATTAGATACATAGGTTTATTTTAAACTCTCTTCAACCTTGATTTCTTTTATTATATTCTCAAAAAAGTGAGAAAAATTTGCACTTTTGTAAGATCTTTAGTAGACATTTTTAAATATGATTTCAATGCTGAATATTAACTTTTTATTTATGATGTAGTAGTACTTCTAAGATGAAGGAATTTATTTGTTTAAACTTTAACAAATTGTTTTATGTGTGGTATCTAGATATTTTGTAAGTATACAACAACTACATGAGCAATAATGGAGATGTACTTATTGCAAAGAAAAAACCATTTTAGATTAAAAAAACTCTTCAAAAGAAGTACTAAACATAGTAGTTTAATCTATAAGAAATGAAGACCATCATGTTTCCACCTCATTTGAAAAATACTTCTTATAATTTATTAACAATTTTTTTGAATATGTCAAATATGGAATAAGGTATTTGAAGTAGAAATTTTTAATTCAATGGCATTTATTAATGTACAAATGCTAGCCTTCTACAATGTTAAAAATAAAAAAAATATAATATAAGATTAATTAAAAAAACAAATGAGTGTATAAAGACTTACAGATGTGATAAGGTAAGACAAATGGAAATAGTAGCTATTAAAAACCTTTATTATTGGTTATATTTTTATGATTGTATAAGTTATATTTATTAAAAATTACAATACTATTAATTCAAATACAAATGATGGTTTAATGTTGAAGTAGATGCAAACAACCTATGTATTAATTTGTGATGATAGATGGATTGATTTAATAAAAAACGGATCTATTCAAAAAATTTCTAAAAAAAACTTAATATATTTTTATGCAATTTTTTCATTTGCCTTAAAAAAACTTATTATTTTAAGTTAAAATTTTTTTACTTCAAATCTTTTTTAGTATAAAATTTTACTATGTGTATGCACATGGGCATGGCATATTGGGAGGGTGTCCATGTAATAAAAAAGGAGTGTCTATCTAGTGGTTTCTAATTTTAAAACATAAAATTAGCAAATTAAAGTAAAAAATTATATTTTTTTTAAAAAAAGCCAAAATCTTCTAAATAATTTTTAAATGTTATATACTTATCAATAAAACTAGATTGTCATTCAAAAAAATTACAAAAATTTAATCCAAAAATTTAAGAATTTGATAGAATTTAAGAATTAATAGCTTAAGAATCCAAAAATTTAAGAATTCATTAACTTAATTTTATTGAATAAACTATATATCCATCTATTATAAATCTTTTGAATTTATTTTTATTTTTTTATTTTTTTGATTTCTTTTAAATTATAGACTATCATAAATTACATAAAATAAACATCAATTAATAAATACAACTTTAATCATTATATCTTTATTTTTATATTTAAAAATCTTGAAACTTGTTATTATTACTACAATGTCAATAAAGCTCACAACCCTTCAAAGCTGAACCTTTTTAAAATTTACACAAAATGTCACACTTATTATTTTAAATACATTTCTAAAAACTTTGGCACTTTTGCAAAGGGATTGTTACAAGTTGCTCACCATCCGCACGTGCATGCAAAAAAAAGGCACACTTATTATCATCAGCGAACAGAACACCTGAACGCATAGATGAATGAGATTCATCCCACGCAGACCAGGAAGTCGAATCTAGTGGGCTTCCAACAGTGACTCTTGTGGTGCATGGGAGCACATTCGCTATATTATACCTCTCACTGCTTTGCTGTATCTAGGCCATCTAGATAGGAGCCAGATACAGACCACTAACCCACACACAGTACCCCTCTGGCATTGTACAATACTTGGTCCAAGTATTTGTACCATTTCATCTCAGATACGAATACACCTCCGTCCATACTCCCCACACCAAAAGATTCTTTCTTCATCCGTCCACCCGCAATTTCAGAACACAACAGCAGAAGGTCAGTATTAAGAAACGAAAAGCCTCCATTCACACCTGCAAGAGAGAATCAAAGTAAATCGAAAGGCCCCAGAATAGTACCCCCGTTCATCTTTTCATCCACTTGACCAGCTTTTATAATCTATTAACGGATTGCATCCAACTTGTACATGGATCCTTTGGATGACAGCCCTTGCCACGAAAGTCATCTATCTTGGAGGTGGAGAGTAAAAACCTAAAAGTAGGGCAATAAAGGTAAAGTTAGGGGAGGAGAAAGGAAAAGGCAAAGGGGGAATGGCTGCAAGCAAGGGAGACCAGGAGCTGCACATCCGTAGCCGCAGTAGCCCGAGGCCTCGCGAGAGCGTAGCAGAGCAGCGTCGTCGAATCCATCGCTCCCGGTCTCAGCGAATCCATCGCTCGCTCTCTGGGGAGGAGGAGGAGGAGGATCACACCAAAGCTTTGATGAGCCAAGGCGCGATCATTGACTAGCTAACATTAATACCCAGCAGCAGAATTCTGGATGCCTCAAAATCCCAGAGAAATTTTCCCTCTTGTAAACAGGAGCCACCCAACCGCTCTCCACCACAAAATCTATCCTGTGATGAAAGCAACGAACCCGCTTTCCCTTGATAATTCTTCTAGACGGGGCCAGTGCCAATACTGGGAGAGGCAAACACTCCCATCCTGTGTTGCATCACCCTCTCCCTCTCTCTCTCTCTCCCTCTAGCCTCCCCTCTTCTCTGTGTTGTCGTCAAGCGTCGATGCTGGATTTCGCGGACAGATTACTAGTCGGAAAGATTGCGCAAGTCTGCGCATTGTTAGTGAGGAGGCAAATGCAGCTAGAGTGAAATTTGGGCGATAGATGTTGTGTGGGTGAGAATTGGGCAATAGTTGTGCGGAGTGTGGAGTGTGGTCGTCAGTTGAGTGCAAGATGGCGGCAGCTACAGCGTGTGTTTCCACTGGTTGTTGCTCTATTACGAGTGCCAGAGAGGGCTATGGCCGCCAGCAGCAAGGGAGTCCGAGTAACGCAGCTGCGAAGTCGCTTAGCCGGTCGTCGTTCTGTGGGGACAAGGTGGCTGCGTCTTTGAAAGCCCAGGCTTGGTTACCTGCAACTCCCAAGCGCCAGAATGCCGCCATGGGTCCTATCCAAGTTTCTTCTGTCTTGGCAGAACTCGACGAGGCCCTTGTAAGCTTTGCCTTATCTTCGAACCTACTCCATGAGTATGCGAATATTTGCGTGATGCGGTTCGTCTACTATTTTTCTTGCTTCTATCTTCTTTCTCCCTCTCCCGTTCCAGATTGGCCCGGCTACGACGAAGCCTTGTGTAATATTCCACTCACGATTTGGAATAGGATAATGTGTAGGGACTAGCTCTGTCTAATGCTGCGTTGTTAATACGAGGGTGTGAGACAGAGCTTGCCTTACGTATGATCCCTTCACTGTTAAAGAATGGAACATATTGGAAGAAACCAAAATGTAGCTATTTCGTTATCAGTGCACTTATACGGAGCTTCTTTGTGAAGGATCCTTGGTTCGAATGGACTTGTTCAGCTTCATTGACACCACTTTAAAATTAATTTTCTTGGTATGATGTCCTAGCATCTGAAGCTCTGGACGATCTATGCATTCTCGCCAGTATATTGGCACTCTCTTGACACTGTCTTGACACTCGCGTTTCTACTGCGAAACTCAACGCATTCAAGATATGCAGAGCCATAGGCTAGTTGTACACATGCAGTTAACGAGTATTCAAAGCTTGTAGTCTTAAAGGCGCACGAATCAACGAATCTATGAGCGATTTCTTCAAGTAGCTGTCTTACTGCGGCAAGCCATACCTCAACGATTGTGTTCTCCTCTTTCCATGCTCATCGATGCTTGGGCTGTCAAACAGATATATGGTTTGGAAAGACCTCAACGATATTTTTTGTTTTCCCAAACCTCTGAGCTTGGATTAGACTAATCCTTCGAAGAAATATCGTGTGAACCTTTTGTTAATTCAGGATTCCTAGTGTTTTCACAGTTAAGTGAGCTGTATCCGTGTTTCGCAGGAGGACGGCACCGAGGAGAAAGCCCGGGTTGATCCAAGAACAGTGTTGTCAATCATCCTTGGAGGTGGTGCGGGGACGCGGCTTTATCCCCTTACGAAGAGACGTGCAAAACCTGCTGTGAGCCCCATTTTCCTCAAATTCTGTACTCATTGTTTGAACTCAAATGTCTTCGAGGATGAGATTTTTATTTAAAGAATGTTGGTTTAATTTAATTTAATTAAATTTTTTATTTAAAAAAATCCTGTACGCTACAGTCATCACCAATGGTAGGTTGGCTTTTTTTTTTTTTAATTTTTTAAAATTTTTTATCTGTTTTTGACGCTGGTGTCATTGAGCAAAAATGTGTAAACTAGCTTATAATGTCTGAATCTGTGTTCATATCAGGTGCCTATCGGTGGAGCGTACCGGTTGATTGATGTGCCTATGAGCAACTGTATTAACAGCAGAATTAACAAAGTCTTCATCCTCACTCAATTCAATTCCACATCCCTCAACCGTCATCTTGCCCGCACCTATAATTTTGGAAAAATTAACTTTGGAGATGGTTTCGTTGAGGTAAGTGGCCAATCTCGCTCATGATATCGCTCCTTGTACTGTGAGGATGTATTGCTCTGTGAAGAGACTGAATGTACTAGTCTCGATATCAAGAATCACGTCACAGTGACATTAACTCCTAAAAAAGTAGAACTTGTGTGGAAAGCAATAAAGTCCCAAGTCGTCTATCTACTCACAAAAATAAAAATAAACTTTATCTTACTGATGATCTGTGACAGTCGATCTCATTCAATTTACAATTTTATGATTTGTGCGGAATAGGTCTTGGCAGCCACTCAGACTCCAGGCGACAGAGGAGCTGATTGGTTTCAAGGAACTGCAGATGCCGTCCGGCAATATTTGTGGTTGTTTGAGGTACACTCTTAATTCCATTGCAACTATGTTTTAAGGATTGTTGTGTCTACTAGTTGGAAAATTCGTTCGGCAATTTCATTCCATCTTCATTCTAAGCAGCAATAGAAGCATCACCTTCACTTATGTTCCATCCACGTGTTTATTGTTGAAGGATGCCAAGAATAAGGTGGTGGAGGACGTGGTTATCTTGTCCGGCGATCACCTCTACCGTATGGATTACATGGACTTTGTCCAGAAGCACAGGGACAGTGGTGCCGATATCACAATATCTTGCGTGCCCATGGACGACAGGTATTCAGTGGAACCACAACATCCAGAATTTCCGTCTGAGAATTCACTGCTGATGGACTTGGTTTCTACAGTTTACTTACAGATTAGTGACTGTAGTATTAATATGTTTCACGAAGCGGTCGTAATAATGTGGAAACTCACTTCATCTATGCACTATCTGAATCTTATTTTCTCTGTGAAGTAAAACGCCTCTGCTATTGGTGAATTACTGTGATAACTGAGGAACGGCCCTGCGACTAATTTTCCTATTCGATCTGCCTTGTAGCCGTGCTTCTGACTATGGGTTGATGAAGATCGACGATGAGGGACGAGTCCTTTATTTCAATGAAAAGCCTAAAGGCGATGCTCTGAAAAGCATGGTATGTTAGAATAGGAGCTTTCTTGTAGTTGAACGAGGCTGTCTTCTGGATCATCTATAGGGCTGCTTTCTGGAACTACACATATTTTGAACCTTGAAGGAATTGCTCTAGTTCAGTGAAGTAGTACTCTGTTGCGGGTTATGTATGAGTTGTCTGATTTTGAGTTGCTGACTGGTTTTCCAGCAAGTGGACACAACAGTCTTGGGTCTGACCCCGGAGGAAGCCGCTGCGAAGCCTTACATTGCATCCATGGGTATTTATGTGTTCAAGAAGGATGTTCTTTTGAAACTTTTAAGATGGAGATACCCCACTGCTAATGACTTTGGTTCAGAAATTATTCCCGCTTCTGCGAAGGAATTCAACGTGCAGGTATGACCTTGCCAATTCTAATTTTAGGTTCTCAGAGTGCGCAGTTCGAAGATTGTGTAGTATTGATTGTGTACTAGACTTATTCTTACCTCTTCCTTTCTCATAACAAATGAACCAAAACTGTCGCTCCCTCGCCCCTGTCCATCTTATCCAAAATTTGGTGAGCATCAGCTATTAGTTCTTGGCAGATTGCAGAAATTATCTGCCATTAAAATTTTGTTTTGTTTTCGCAGGCATATTTGTTCAATGACTACTGGGAGGATATTGGAACCATCAAGTCTTTCTTTGATGCTAATTTAGCTCTTACTTCTCAGGTATTGCCTTCCTCTCGCTCATAGATGTTTTTTACTGAAGGAAAACTGTGTGTAGTCAATCAATTATGTAACCTGTGAATTGAATTACATTAGGATCATATTAAACTTGAATATAGGTTTGTCTCTCTACATTTTTCACTTCTCAATCGATTCTTACACAGTGTTGTGTGTGTTCGTCTTTCCACAGCCGCCCCAGTTCAGCTTCTATGATGCTACAAAGCCTATCTTCACATCTCCACGCTATCTTCCTCCAACAAAAATTGAACAATGCCAGGTATCCTTATCTGCCATCAAAATTGAGCCTTTTTAGATTCTGTGATGGTTGGTCACGAATATTATCTCGTATTTTCAATTCGGAGAATGTTTATGTAGCAACAATGCGCTTACACTTGGGATATTTAATGCCCCATTATCTAATTAAATCTCTCATAGTTCAGCCGTGTAATAATCTGGCTGACGAGTCTCACTGGATTTTGCAATTTCAGGTTGTAGATTCAATTATTTCGCACGGATGTATTTTAAAAGGCTGCAGCGTCAATCATTCGATTGTTGGTATTCGATCTCGTCTGCAGGAGGGTATTGTGTTGAAGGTAAGAGAATTAATGTGATTAGTGAAGTAGGACAGTCGTTCGATTATCTTGCATTCAATCAGACTTCTGAATTACGTATTTGCGTTGTGTTACTCCGTGATAATGTGCAACAACTTTCGTAAAACTTACTCGCTGAAGTGCATTTGTTTACCAGGATACAATGATGATGGGAGCTGATTTCTATCAGACAGAGGAAGAAGTGGCACAGTTGTTAAAGGCAGGAAAGATTCCTCTAGGAGTCGGTGAAAACTCGAGAATCAGCAACTGCATTATTGACAAGAATGCCAGAATCGGCAAGAATGTTGTCATTGCTAACACCGACGTAAGCAATCACTGTGCATTCTGACACTTGATAGTCAAACTCATTTTTCATGTTCAGTGCAATATTCATGAAATAGGTTTAAGTTGCAGCTAATGGTCCACACGGGTTGTGTGCAGAATGTGCAAGAAGCATCAAGACCGGAGGAAGGTTTCTATATCAGAACAGGGGTGACAGTGATTGAGAAGAATGGGATCGTCAAGGATGGGACCGTGATCTAACTTCAGATAGGCCTACAGTTGAATGGTTCCAATTACCGGGTTGAATACAGCGTGTATCCTGTCACCTATCACTAAATTTTTTGAGCTCGATTGAGCAGTCGAAAGGAGAAGACACAATTTTCAATGCTCATATGCTCGTAGGAGGAACTAGGTCTCAGTTGACTACTTTGTCAGCGTGAAATAGCCTTCGAATCTAGCGTGGTGATGCTACTAGTGACAATGGGATAATGATTAATTTGACATCGAAAGAAACATTGCCCCTAGATTTTCTGTATCATAGTGCTTCAATTTAATTCCACATTCAGTATAGGTTTTCTTGTGTTTCAATCCTGCCACATTTTCTTATCATTCGCATTTTGGGATTAATTTCGAATCTTGTACCTGAGTTTGCAAACCTTCATGACTGAAGATGGAATCACTGATTTGAAGTGTGGTACATTGAGCATATTGATGATGCTAAATGGGTCCTCAGTATAAGGCAGTACACTACAGCCTTTCTCTTCACTCTGCGCTCCGTCTAGTCTATTCCGAAACTCGGAGACCTAGCAGTTGGCAGGTGAAGGAATCGTGTGCATTGGCAGAAGGACGAAGCACGTTGATTTAGTAGTTTGTCAAGCAACCAGCTCACATGTACTATGATTCCAAGAGCAAGAATATAATAATACAATCGCTCCAAAGAGATCAATTTAAGAGTAAATTTAACATCAAGTACCTTGCAATACCACCCGTTCACTGCTGTACGTGGGAGATTGTTGCGTGAATTTACTTTTACAGCTGAGAAGGTAAATTTGGGTTAGAGCTGCCTTTTCTGTGCACCACATTTGTTCCATGAGAATAGGGTGGATGATCGCATCGCTTATTGGAGCAGATGCGCAACACCAGCAGAAAGCCAAACAGCAACTGATTCTCAAGCGACTAGATTCAATGTCGGACCTGAGAGGTGGCCCATACCCTGTGATTTATGGGTATGGGCCACCTATCATATCTTCCATGTGATTTACTCATTTTCTGTGCTGTGAGCCTCTGCTGGTATTGTGGCCATGGACCATCCTCTTCTAATCATAGCTTTCTTAACCGCTAAGTGCAAACGCTGACTCCACCCTGTTAAAATTAACTTGGAATCCCTCCTCCAGGCTCTCTTGTGTCCAAGTGCTTGACAAGACATTCCAACAATCACTGAATCGATTATTTTCAGCATTCCAACGAAAAGCATGTCATGACAGAGGATTAGACTAGAACTTTGATGGCAAGCTTACTGGCTACCGGTAGAGCTATTCCAGCGACTTAAGCGACACTCTTCTTATGTGCATCTTCACCACGGAATGTACCATGTCTCAAGACTTAAATCGCCTTGAAGAAATTATACAATGAACAAAGTTTTGACGAGGGGTGAAATGTTTATCTACACGAGTTTTAGCTCATTTCGAGGTAACTGGTGTTCTTCGGTGCTGTTAGCTACTGTGTGGCATGAGCGGTTGAAGTGCACATTGGAACTGTAGAAACGCATTTGGTCGGAAGGGTTGTGCTTAGAAGAGTCCAGGACCTGTCTGGTCTATCGGTCACTCCGAGTTTCAGAGCTTTCCTCATCCATTAAAGAATGGTATGCTTTGACATTACTATGATGCACCTATTGCTGAGTGAGAGCAGAAGAGTACAGAGATGAAACGAGAAATAAGATGAGTGATTGATGGCCCCGATAAAAAATTGATGGGTAATGTTATCGTTCTTTCGTCAGCCATGCCTATGTTCATCAAATTATGATCTAAAATTTCACAGGAATTATAGGCCGAGTGAACTCGAACTCTATTTCTCTATCTTTCGAATGGAAGATTGATCGTTGACAACAATGAAGCTTTGGTGCATAACTAAACTCAGCGTTCTTTTCGTCAAATTGGATTGGTGTCCGTGTAAATGAGAGTCTCATATTTGCAGCCCATGTTATCCAATGCCACACTACCGGTTTTGAAATGTTTCTGGTATCAGGCAACCTGGGGAATATTTTCCCAATTATCCTTATTAGCAACCTCAAATTGCAGCTAAAATGGCTTATCCAACCTTAGTCGTGCCTTAATGAAACTCTTAACCAATGGAGTTTCACTACAAACAGTGTCCTACGATTTTCAGCACCCTCTACTTTCTTTGTAGCTCTCTTCACTGAATCCTTCGTCGCTGCCCAGAACCTTTGCTGGACTGATCTCAGTTGCAGGCACCGTTTCTGGATCGCCTACATTCTCCTGAACCGTGGCTCTGCTATGTTCGTTGCTGATTGTACTTTCTCCCTCTTTTCATTGTCTCTGATTCTCAATTTTTTTTCCCCGCTAGCCCCTTTCTAGCTGCCTGTTCTGTTCCCTCACATTTGCTGGATCACTTCGCAAATCGTTCGCCCCTTCTTCACTGCTGTTGCCCCATTGAATAAAATAAAATAAAATATTATGCTACCAATGTAGACCCATCTTAATAATTGTTACAATTCAAAATTGGATCATAAAGACAACAATCAACAATAAATACAAAATGAGAAGAATCAATTATTACTACTTTTAGCATCAAGTTGAAGGTCCTATAATAATAGACATAGCTAATAAAGTAGGTTTAGAATTTTATAATATTTCCAAGTTTTTAGAACATAATCAATTCACAGAATCAAGAATAAATTTGATATGGACCAACCTTGTTTGTGTGACTTAGTCAAGTTGAGTGGAATAGGACAAAATCTAGACTACAAGTACAAATGAAATTAAAATAGAATAGGTATCATCTTTTAATACCATATTTTTAAAAGTATTTGTTGAAGTAAAAGTAAAATAACATAAAGAAGAGACAAGTATAATAGATCTATTAGAAGTATTCTTAAGCAAAAGACACAAAGCAAGGCACTATGATGTAAAAGGATTATTTGATAGCTTTGAATAAGAATGACAAAAGATGTTATGGACATCAAACAAGAAGATTTTGGAAATATTTTTACAATATTCTATTAGACTCTAGAAGGTTTCAAAAGATTTTAAAAATATTTTAATAAGATGTTTTAGAATATTTTTAAAATATTCAAATAGAATATTCTAAAAATTCTTAAAATATTTTACAAGGTTCTAAAAGGTTCTTAGAACATTTCAAAATATTTTAGTATATGTATATTGGAGTCAAGGTTAAGGGAATCCTCACTCTCAACAACACATCTCTTGGAATTCTAGCTCACTTCTCTTGGTGTTAATTTTGTATTCATTTGGTTTAATCAAGTTCTTACAAGCTAACTTGTTGAAACTCTTCTATTCAACTTCTTGTTTGGTCCTTTGCATAGTATATCTATGATAAAAGAAACAATCTACTTGTAAAAATATTGTTGTAAATAAAAATATTCCGAATTACAAAATCTAGAGCTATTATGGAACCAAGTACAGTTGAGATGGAACAAAGATATGACTAAATTAATTTAGTACAAAATTCTAATAGAAGAAAGTATAACAAGGCAAAAATAACTTCTCTACCAAAGACTAGCTAGCAACCATGAATTAGTCAAAATAGGATAAAATCAAGTTGACTTATAAGTAATTGGAACAATGGCTAGAAGAAATCTAAATTGAATGCTTGTTAATTTATAAAACATTTAACTAACATAAAATAAAAACTTATAATCTAACATTTGATTTGATATTTCTATACAATAAATAAATACATAAATAAATAGAATTAGCTAAAATAATTATATATATATAATTATTTTAATTTAGATTTTTTAAATATATATATAATAAAAAAATATTAAAAAGTTAATTGATCTAAACTTTTTTGTGCAGCTACTTTTTATGGATACAATTTTTCTGATTTCTCTCCAAAATCACTTCATGCCCTAATTGCTTAAAATGGCTTTATATGAACACATGCTTATTGAATGTCAAAGAATTTAAAAATAGATAAATAAATAAAAATAATTAAATCTGAATTCAATGTACTAAAAAAAATCAGATAAGTCCTCCAAAAATTGGTCAATCAAATACCTAATTGTAATAAACACTGCACATTTTAATCACATCTTTACAATACTTTACATATTAGTAACTTTACAATAAACATTTACTAAAACGTCTATAACAAAAATATTTGATTGCCATTTGACATTGTATCTCTGATTGTTTGCAAGAACATATTATCCCTCCTATATCATTCATTAAAAACCATCATTCCTTTCAGAATAAAAAGGCTAGATCTGAACATACATTACAAGGTTTAGAATATAGAAGTATGTATCAAGAAAAGACTCCAGCAAGAAAGAGCCAGAGAGGTTCAACAGAAATGACTCATCCTACAAGTTTACAATTTTACAGGCTCTTTTAAAGGAATCTACCTACGATTTCAACCTACGATCTCTGTAATGCTATTTCGAACATCTTCGAAGAAACATAAACACAATATGCATCCAGAAGCCTATTAATTTACATATGTAAAGCAAAAAGGGAAGATCAATCCTCTCCTCCAAGCACTTGAACGAACCACACAGGCAAGGACAGTGGCTACAGGACTCACACAGAGCTACTTATGTAGATCCAACCATGACTCTTTCCTGGCGAAGTTGTGTTGCTGAAATTGATAGTGTGTAACTCCGAAATTCTGCAAACTGGATCAGTAATAACTTCAAACCTGGAGAAAAGAAATGACCTTGATTGAGAGTTGATGGGTGCAGCTCATACAGCTGCTGATGTTGCAGACTCAGAAGATGATTGCTGCAACAGGAATTTCATGCGCCGGTAGTTGATAGCTCAAGTCCAATCAAAGCTTGATTCGGACCTGTTACTGGTTCTCAGAAGAAGTTGTGTGTTATATGCATTCCATCACTTGGTTGAAGTGATGGCACTCGTAATGCCTGACTGATTGTTCTCCTAAACAGCCGCTTTGTCAGCTGGGTCTGCTTGGATTGCCCTTGCTGTGGTGCGACATAGCCCACTCTGCGCTTGTTGTTGCACAAAGCTGCATCCTCCAAAAGAAAAAAACGAAAAATGAAGAGGAGCGGATGGAACAATCTCATGATTCTTTCATCATGCCCATTTTCAATAGACCGGCGTCTCCTACTCTAAAAATATCTGGGGTTTGATATATGATTTTGTTTTGTTTTGTTTTCTGTTCTTTTTTTTGAAATCATGACTTTCATGGCAAACTCTTGCGTATATCTCCACTGCTGAATGTTTTGCTGCGAGAAATCCCAGCTCGCTGCCAAAGGTGCCCCCTAGGTCTTTGAGGCGCCCCACTCTCAACACTCCTCCTCAAAATCTGACGCATGGCCTGAGCCAAATGCGCAGCGGGGTCTTGCCGCGTGAACGTGTTGTACTTTAGACAAAGCTTCATGTGGGCGCAAACGGCGTCGTCCATGGACGTCTCAGGCCCCATGCGCAATCGTTCCTCCTTGACAGCCTCGCCGCAGAGCCCACACACCAGGCGACCACAGAAGGTCTCTTTCGTACGAGCGATGTATCCTTGAGTGCACTCTTCAGTTAGTCCACAACACTCGCACTGGGCCATGCACTCCTGCTGCTCCTCCTCCGCGTCCTCCTCCACCGGAATCGATGTGAATGTGAAATCGGATAAGCTGCCCACGATCTCAGCTATGTCGTTCGACTCAGGCTGAGAGAGCGTCTTCCGGAGCAAGTGGTGGTGCTCCTGGAGGCTCTGTGACTCGACAAAGCTCTCAGGCCGTGTGAAAGAGCACATGAGCTCTACCTGCGCAGAACCCATGCTGTCCTCCTTTTTGAGGCTCGTCGAAAACCTAGATACCCTAATTGGAGATGCCTTAGCATCCCCTGGACGAGGATCAAAGGTAGCTATGTCTCCGTTATTTCTTGCAGGATGTAAGAATCACAATGAACTTCTTAGGATTCTTAAACCCGCACAGAGAAAATCGCAGAAACCCTGATTGCCTCCCGTAGCTGTTGCGGAGCAAACCCCTCCCCTACCCAACACACACGAACTCCCAGTGCAACAAATGAGGAGCCTGTCTAAGGCGACAAATCATCATATAATGCAGTCAAAGTGAGTAGGATAGCCTCTTTCACGAAGTCTGTGTCCGAATCGTGCTTCAAAAGCGCGTAACCGACAGGGGCTTTCGCTTGCACAACGCGTCATTGGGTCCAATCCCATGGGATTCTATGCGCCTCTGCTTCTTTCTTGAAGCATGCGCCTGTCGACGCACGCCGTCCGCCACCGACTCGCCTCGGTATCAACAAGTAACTGCAGAACCGTCGCGGCTCTGCTCAACTCGTCAACAAAGTGGCGTCCAATACTAGAAGAGTTGCCACTCAGGGACCGGGAAGAAATTAAGGTAGGCCCAGCTAAGACTTTGGATTTTGTGGCATCAATCAACCGGCAGCCTGTTCCATCGCCTCTGTCACTACCTTAGCCTTTACTGCATGTACAGTTTGGACAAGTTACAACCTCATTTACTGAACGTAAAACTTAGCTCTAAATGTACGACGTGTGCATTCTGCTTGCAATTTTACACAAAGTGACAGTGTCAAGACAACATATCAGTGCATTTTTTACACCCGCACTGTTAAAAAATCAAAAAAATCAAAGAAAAATTAGAACCATGCAAGAATCAACTCGACTGTCTGAGGCTCAAACCATTGATGGGTTCAAGTAAACTTTACCCAAAACGCTTGATGTGAACCCACCCACCCACCCTGAGAGCAAAAGCAACTGATCATGTGGGCGAGAGGGGGAATCCATGCGCAGCTATGCGGTGATTCTGCAACGATGCAGCAGCGGTGATGCCGCTCCGCCGCACCGGTGCCAAGTTTCCGTAGTGAGGTGCTGCTCCCCAATAACCCCGCTTTTCCAATCATGGGACCCCCCCACCTCCGATGGTGCTCCTTTCGCAGCCCATGGAGCTCGTGTTGTCCGCAACTCCGATGATCCACACGGAGCTTACTCCGTGTACACTACTTCGAACCTTGACTGCTCGCGACAGCATCGTGTTCACCGCCGACGGGGTTTTCAAAGTGGATGTCCAACTTTGCCCTCTTTGAGAAGAGCTCTAAATCCTACTTCTGATCTCTTTATTTGCTACACCATTTAAAGCTTCATTACGAGTATTGCGGGTTGTGTTAAAAAATTGCTGAAATTGCTAACATTTTTGCCTAGAATGGTATGGCATTGCTAGAAGATGCCAGGTGGTTGTACCAAGTGTGTTCACACTTTGAATCTTAACAGGTAATACTGTAACCTTGTCCATAGGGAAACAGAAAATGTGTACTCTTCTCATATATATATGTAGATACATACAAACATGTATGTATGTATGTATGTATGTATGTATGTGTGTGTGTGTGAATTGTATGACAAACAAATTAAACATCTTTTCTTTATATGTTTTTTAAAATGACAATTTGCTAAAAAGCCATTTCGTTGTTAAGGATTTAGAGTGTGGAGCTTGATGATATTTGTTTTCAAATTGATTTGATGTGATATAGAATGGACTCTTGAAATAGTTATATAAAGAGAAACATTTTAAGTATATCTGGATTTTTACTCAAGCAATACCATTTTTAAACTGTTTTCCTTTTCAAAGTAGCTTATGTAGTAAGATTTGTTCACTTTAGAAAACATAAAATTAGGCGATAACAATGTAAATGCACATAGTCAAAAGAATCGAAATTGAACAAGAAAAATTGTATTAAATTACAAGTATCTGTAGATGAATCCCATTTAATTCGAATTATATAATGATTTGAGTATCAATTACTAGAATTTTAAGATACATAAAATATTCAAAATAAAATCATCAATAAAAATGCCCACAACAAAATAAACTAATGAATGAATAAAAAATCCTACCCTAAAATTATCAAAGGTGAACACAAATACTATAAAATGAAAAAAAAATATATCTATTTACATGTCACCCAGAGCGCTGTGTTTGAGGCGACACCCGCCCCTGAGCCCAGGCACGAGCGGGCGCCGCCTGAAATACAGCTCCCCGAAGACGCTGTGCAAAACTGATCTGCTTCGCAAAACTGTGAGAAGGCACTGGAACGTGCTCCGCGCCTACTACCGCTGTACACTCGTGTCTATCTCCTCCACCACCTTCGGCCTTTTGTAGCGTTTCAGCCACAGCGACGAACATACTACCGACACCGATGACGCCGCCATGGCTGCACCCGCCACCCACGGAGGCAACCGGAACCCCGTGCTTGGGAACAGCGCCCCCGCAGCTATGGGGATGCCCAGCACATTGTACCCCAACGCCCACACGTAGTTCAGCCAGATCCTGAAGAACGACTTCCGTGACAAGTCTATCCCTGTGATCACGTCCTCCAGGTTGCTCTTCATCAGCACGATGTCCGCCGCCTCGATCGCGATGTCCGTCCCCGCTCCTATCGCCATCCCCACGTCCGCTGCGACCAACGCTGGCGAATCGTTGATGCCGTCCCCCACCATGGCCACCGACGTCCCTGCCGCCTGCATCCCACAAACCTCAGCGTCAGCATGCTTGTTCACCAAGCGTCCTCATCACTCGCCTCTGCTTCCCCCATTACGCAATCCAATCCCACCCCGGCGCTCGCGTTCCCTCCCCAGGTCAAACTCCCCCCGCAGCCCCCACGCATGCTCGTGCACCAGGCAAACCACGAACCTGCATTTCTTCCACGATCCTGGCCTTGTCTTCTGGCAACGACTCTGCGTGCACGCATGGCCTCTCGATTCCCAACTCCCTCGCAATCGCCACGGCTGTGCCCCAGTTGTCCCCCGTGACCATCATGCTGCGCACGCCCATTGACTTGAGGATGCTGATTACTCTGGCTGCTTCCGGCTTCACTGGATCCGCGATGGACACCACCCCCACCAACTCCCTCTCGATGGCAACCATCACTCCCGTCCTGGCCAAAGTCTCCACATCGCGCAAGTGCTCCTCCGCTTCTTCCGATATGTGGATCCCGTGCTCCTTCATCAGTCGCATGTTCCCCACCAGGGTCGCCTTGCCGTCCACCACGGCGCGCACTCCCTGCCCTGGAATGGCCTCGAAATCACGCACCTCGTGTTGCTGCTGACCATGGGACGAATGCTCGCCGCTGATCTTCCTGGAGTACGCGACGATCGCTTTTCCCAGTGGGTGCTCGCTGTTGACCTCCGCTGCTGCGATTGTGTCGTAGAACACGTGCAGAGGAATGTTCGTGAGCAGCTTGGTGTGAACGACGATGGGCTTCCCGATTGTCAGCGTCCCGGTCTTGTCGAAAACCACCGTCTTCACCTTGTGTGCAGCCTCCAGTGCCTGACCCCCTTTGATCAGGATCCCCTGCGTCGCGCCCTTCCCTGTGGCAACCATTATTGCGGTGGGTGTGGCCAGGCCGAGGGCGCAGGGGCACGCGATGACGAGCACTGATATCCCGAACTGAAGTGCCAGCTCGAACTCGTCCATCGCAGCCGGAATCCATGACTTTGGGTACGAGCGTGCTTTGCCTCCAACGTACCAAGCCAGCCACGTGACGAACGCCGCGACCACCACGGCGGGGACGAAGTAAGTGGAGATGCGATCCGCATACTTCTGGACCGGAGCTTTGCCCATTTGGGCGGCTTCCACCAGCCGCACAATTTGTGCCAATGCGGTCTCCGCCCCTACGTGTGTGGCTCGAATGTGTATCACGCCGTGGTCGTTCATGGTGCCTCCTATCACCTTGTCCCCTAATTTCTTCGGTACGGGGCGGGCTTCGCCTGTTATCATGCTCTCGTTCACGAAGGATTGTCCCCACACCACCACACCGTCCGTGGGCACTTTCGAGCCCGGTACCACCTGCGCAAGCCAAAACGACTTTTCATTGCAAGAACGGGCACAACTACAATCATGGCTGCCACGCTACCCACTAGGACCGCTTCACGGGAACGACACGCACCGCAACTCTCTAGCACAAGCTTCTACAATGGCCCACATACAAACCCGACTCTGTTTCCAACCGTCCGACTCTCCGAATCGGTATGGACAGCCGCATCCAACAACCCCCAGCGAAAGCCCAAGCCTGAAACGTAGCACCTACAACACCAGCGCGTAGGCCTACCTTGATGATGTCTCGCCGCTGGATGAGCTCGGCCCCGATTTCCCTCTCTCCTGCCACGTCCCCCTCCTCGTCCAGAGTGAGCAGAGTCGCCTTGTCCGGAGCGAGGTCCATCAGCTTGGCAACGGCTTCCGAGGTCTTCCCCTTGGCCATTACTTCCAAATACTTTCCCAGGATGATAAACGAAATGAGCATCGCGCTCGTTTCAAAAAAATCCGTGCCCTTGAACGTAGGAGACGTAGCCGCCCGCAACACTATGTACACAGAATAAAAGTACGCTGCGTTCGTGCCCATGGCAATTAGCACGTCCATGTTCGACGACCCTCGCCGGAGCGCCTTGTACGCTCCCACGTAGAACCTTCTCCCGATAACGAACTGCACCGGAGTCGCAAGAATCCACCGCAGCAAAGCTCCGATCGACAAGCCGTTCAGCCTGCCGTGCTCCAGACCCTCCATAATGCCTGGTATGTACATAAACACCATGGACAAAAAGAACACTGGGACCGTGAACACCAAGCTCCAAAGGAAGTACTTCTTGTGGTGCTGGATCTCCAAGCCCCTGTCGTGACTCCCACGACCACGAGGTGCCTCCAACTTCGCTGTGAAAACTCCCGCCTGCTCGATGGTCTCTATGAAAGTCCTCGGCCCAGCCCTGTCGGGCTCGTACGATACTGTGACCATCGCATTGCTGAAATCCAAATCCACCGATGTCACGCCGGACAGAGCCACCAGCATCTCTTTCACGAGCTGGAAGTCCGCTGCAGCCGTCACGCCTTCCAGCTGCAGACGGATTCTGTTCGTCTCTTCACCTGCGATCAGAAGCTCGGCCTCGTAACCCAGGTCATCTATGGCGGCGGCAAGCTGGACGTGAGAAATCACTCCAGCATCGTGCCTCACCTCGCACTCCTCCGTGGCGAGGGCTACTACGGCCTTTTGCACTCCATCCAGCTTTTCAGCGAAAGACTCTATGGAGTTTGAGCAAGAGGTGCACGTCATGCCCTTGA